AAATGAAACAACAGAAACTGAAAACCAAGAAACTCCACGGGTTACCTAATAATGCTACCTATTAAAATCTACAGAATCTAAACTCTGAGGCTAAAACTCAAAGGTCCTTGATTAGTTGCTTCCAACATAGGTCTTTTCTCATTAATTTAAAATCCATGACATCCCCTCTTCAGTCAAACCAACACCCACTCTCTAATCATAACATTTTTCAGATCTCTGGTCATCCATGGTCCTCATCTGCTCCGGGGCATTTCACACAACTCATTTTTTCTAAGAAACTTTCACAGATTAACATTACACAGGGGATATTTGAATAAGTATAAAAGTAAGCATAAGCTTAGAAGTAAGTGCTTAAGGGACTTGTTAAAATATGGCAACTATGGAGAAGGCAGTCAACAAAGTCTTGGAGTGATCAGCTTTTCATTTTTTTTAACTTTAATTTGGAAAAAATCTCATTAACGGTTATTACGTGTCATGTGCATTTGAATATCACATTCCTTTACTCATCTATTATTTCTCTCTCAACCTGTAAAATATACAGAATATTGTTTTGAACTGAATGTACTGTTGAATAAAATTGTTACCTTGGTTTAATTTGGCTTTGCTATCTTAATGGTAGGGCTTCCTGGGTAACTTAACGACAAAAAAAAAAAAAAAAATCTACCTACCAATGCAGGAGAAGTGGGTTCCATACCTGGGTTGGGAAAATGTCCTGGAGAAGGAAATGGCAACCCAATCCAGCATTCATGCCTGGGAAATTCCATGGAGAGAAGAATCTGGTGGGCTACAGCCCATGGAGTCACAAAAGTGTAGGACACCAATTAGCAACTAAACAACAACAACAATCTTAATAATAAACTATCACTAAGAAAATGGGGACAGTGCATTCTAATATTTTTCTTTTTTTGGTTAAGTCCAAAGTTTACCAAAAACTTTTGGTAAGTTTTTTTTTTTTTTTTTTGGTAAGTTTACTATCTCACGTCCTATTGAAAGCAAATCTGGTACACGTTTTAGGTCCTTAAAACATTGCATGCCTGTTAAATGACAATAATGAAAAGGATTGAATCAGCCCATTGATGATCAAATTACAAATTGTCTTATTCATCAGTTCAGTTCCGATCAGTTGCTCAGTCACGTCCAACTCTTTGCAACCCCATGGACTACAGCATGCCAGGCCTCCCTGTCCATCACCAACTCCCAGAGTTTACTCAAACTCATGTCCAATGAGTCAGTGATGCCATCCAGCCACCTCATCCTCTGTTGTCCCCTTCTCCCGCCTTCAATCTTTCCCAGCATCAGGGTCTTTTCTAATGAGTCCATTCTTCCCATGAGGTAGGCAAAGTGTTGGAGTTTCAGCTTCAGTATCAGTTCTGCCAATGCATATTCAGGACTGATCTCCTTTAGGATGGACTGGTTTGATCTCTTTGCAGTCAAAGGGACTCTCCAAAACCACAGTTCAAAAGCATCAGTTCTTCAGTACTCAGCATTCTTTATAGTCCAACTCTCACATCCATCCATGACAACTAGAAAATCATAGCTTTGACTAGATGGACCTTTGTTGGCAAAGCAATGTCTGTGCTTTTTAATATGCTGTCTAGGTTGATCATGGAGAAGGAAATGGCAACCCACTCCTGTTCTCGCCTGGAGATTCCCGTGGACAGAGGAGCCTGTCCATGGAGTCGCACAGAGTCGGACATGACTGAAGCGACTTAGCATGCATGCATGCATTGAAGGGAGTGGAAACCCACTCCAGTATTCTTGCCTGGAGAATCCCAGGGAGAGGAGCCCGGTGGACTGCCATTTATGGGGTCGCACAGAATCGGACATGACTGAAGCAATTTAATAGCAGCAGCAGCAGGTTGATAATAATTTTTCTCCCAAGGAGCAAGCGTCTTTTAATTTCATGGTTGCAGTAATCATTTGCAGTGATTTTGGAGCCCAAAATAATTGTCACTGTTTCCACTGTTTCCCCATGTATTGTCCATCTATGAAGTGATGGGACCACATGCCATGATCTTAGTTTTCTGAATGTTGAGTTTTAAGCCAACTTTTTCAGTGTCCTCTTTCACTTTCATCAGGAGGCTCTTTAGTTCTTCTCTTTCTGCCATAAGGATGGTGTCATTGGCATATCTGAGGTTATTGATATTTCTCCTGGCAATCTTGATTCCAGTTTGTGCTTCATCCAGCCCAGCATTTCTCATGATGTACTCTGCATATACGTTAAATAAGCAGGGTGACAATATACAGCCTTGACGTACCCCTTTCCTGATTTGGAACCAGTCTGTTTTTACATGGCCAGTTCTAACTGTTGCTTCCTGACCAGCAAACAGATTTCTCGAGAGACAGGTCAGATGGTCTGTATTCCCATCTAATTTTCCACAGTTTATTGTGATACACACAATCAAAGGCTTTGGTGTAGTCAATAAAGCAGACATAGATATTTTTCTGGAACTCTCTTGCTTTTTTGATGATCCAACAGATGTTGTCAATTTGATCTCTGGTTCCTCTGTCTTTTCTAACTCCAGCTTGAACATCTCGAAGTTCATGGTTCATGTACTGTTGAAGCCTGGCTTGGAGAATTTTGAGCATTACTTTGCCAGTGTGTGAGATGTGTGCTATTGTGTGGTAGTTTGAGCATTCTTTGGCATTGCCTTTCTTTGGGATTGGAATGAATACAGATCTTTTCCAGTCCTGTGGCCACTGCTGAGTTTTCCAAATTTGCTGGCATAGTGAGTGCATCACCTTCACAGTATCATCTTTTAGAATTTAAAGTAGCTCAACTGGAATTCCATCACCTCCACTAGCTTTGTTCGTAGTGATGCTTCCTAAGGCCCACTTGACTTCACATTCCATGATGTCTGGCTCTAGGTGAGTGATCACACCATCATGATTATCTAGGTGGTGAAGATCTTTTTTGTATAGTTCTTCTGTGTATTCTTGCCACCTCTTCTTAATATCTTCTGCTTCTGTTAGGTCCATCCCATTCTTGTCCTTTATTGTGCCCATCTTTGCCTGAAATGTTCCCTTGATATCTCTAATTTTCTTGAAGAGATCTCCAGTCTTTCCCATTCTATTGTTTTCCTTTATCTCTTTGCGTTGATCTTATTCATGACAGTTTCATCTTATTTATGACAGTTTGTAAAGTCAAGATTTTGTAAATGTAGTAATATTGTGATGAATTATGTTCCAACTACCCGTAATGGACTTGAACAATTTGGGAAGGACTGTGAGGCACTAGAGAAATGAGGAGTGGCAGAGGGTATGGACGAAACTGTGGAGAAAACTAGAAAGAGTGGGAGTACAAAGGATAGGTAGGCAAGGGATGATTTTGAGTATTGGGATGAACTAGGAAAAGTATGCATGCAATCTAAGCAGGACAAGGATGGATAAAAACTAACTGGAGGAAATTGAATTTGGAAACCTAAAAAGTAGGTAGAGACTTGGAAGAGTTATACAAACTCAAAAGCACAGTGAGGAATTTGGCAAAACTGTAATGAACTGATCATGACTTCATTGAGTGGGAGACTTGAAGGACCAAAAAAAAAACAGGGAAGGTGTGGGGAGATTTCATGGATATGGGAGGTCTCAGGCACCACTGAGAGTGGATCTGAGTAGAGTGTGGATTTGAGTACCTAAAGTGGATGGAGGGAAGAGATAGAGGTAATACAGCTAATGGAAGGGAACAATGAAAATAATGATGTAACAAGTAAAAGAAAGTTGTTTAAATTTTCTTCCCTAAGTAAAAATTAAGTTACTGGAGAAATTTTATACAGACTAACAATTTTAATATATTACTTCTTTTAGGAATGCTGGGAATGGGGGTGGGTTGGGGTGGCACATATTTCACTTTCTTATTCTGCCACATGGAAGAGAAAAACTGAGAATGGGAATTTGTGACAAAGAACTTAAATACATTATTTTAAAATATAAAATATATTGTACTACTTTATCATAGTATTACTCAGTACTCTGAGAAAGTTGAAGGGTTGCATTGGAGGACATATTATTCACTAAGTCTACAAACATAAATGATTTTTGAAAAAAATTAAAACCTCCATGACACCTTGAACATTATTTCAAATTTCATTTAAATAAATAGAATCTTAAAAACTTTTAATCACTTAAATGAAGAATGGGGGATACACTACTAGCTTATTTAATCAAATCATTTTCCTATCAGTGTTAAGACATTCCATGTATTTACTCACTAGAAAAATCTCTTGGGACTTCCCAGTGCTTCAGTGGTTAAGACCGCCTTCCTATGCAGGAGGCGCAAGTTTGATTCTGGTAAGGGCATGAAGGTCCCACATGCCTTGGAGTGTGGCCAAAAATGAAAAAAATAATCTTTTTTTTGCTAGTTGGTATATATTATATTTGTTTGTTGTTGTTGCTTTGTTGCTAAATCATGTCTGACTCTTTTGCAACCCCATGGACTGTAGCCCGCCAGGCTTCTCTGTCCATGGGATTTCCCAGGTAAGAATACTGAAGTGGGATGCCATTTTCTTCTCCAGGGGATCTTTCCAACCTCGGGATCAAACACACATCTCTTGCATTGGCAGCGGAATTCTTCACCACTGAGCCACAGGGATGCCCCTTATATTCATTGACTATCCTCTGTGTGCTAGGCACTGAAAGGCAAAAATGAGAAAGAACAGTCACTCTACATAAGTTGGTCCACAAAAAAGAGGTATTTGGACATTTATAATACATTGATAGTGTCTGTGGTCATTCAAGTCAATAGAAGCATTTGCTGTAATATGGGGGATTTTTGTTATTGTTTTACATCTCCCCCAACATGATATTAGTCAGTATACTGGAATGAATATAAACTTCCTTCCGTTTCCCCTCATCCATTTTAATGCTAAAATTTTAAGCTTGATGCAAATCTTTTAAGGAAACAAAAGGTTTGAATACTAAAAATGGGAGTTCAGATAAAATCTGTACTGAAAAGTTCCAGAAGAAGTGTGATTTATATGGTATTTAACATATATAAAACTCACCTTGAAATATCTGAATGAAAACCCACTTTTGCACAGTCCTCATAGTGCTCTGCAATCAGATGTGGGGTGAAGGATAAAAAGAGAGAGGGGAAGAAAGATCTCTGCCTCAAGTACAATGTAATTAATTGAAACTTAAAATAGATGTACCAAAATGATCAGGTTTTGATAACCCTATACTATGCTACGTGGGAGGTTCCACAGCAGGACCTGCAAGGTCCCTTTAGTTTTAGGGATGCAATGACTCTGTTATACCCTGATGGATAAAATGCTGTTAGCAGCAAATCATTCTGGACTCTGAAATGCAGCTACAAAATATTCTGGGAATTCAAAATGAGGCAAAGACTCTGCTACCCTTATTTGCCTGCTAGAGGAAGATCAAATAAAAATGTTGTATCCACTAAATGGGCTTTCTCTTTTGGACTTATATAACAGTTCTCTAAACCTAACACATAGAATTGGTAATCTGCAGTAGGATTATGAAACAATAGAAACCATCGGAAAGCCATATAGACTCACAGTACTATATATATGCGCACTAGGTGTAATCCTAGTCCTTCGATTAACAGTATTTCTTCCCCGAAGCTGAGGAAAAAGGTCATTCCTTGAATACTAATCACATATTATGTCATTAAGAATTAATAATCATGAAATGTTAATTTAAAGTTCCTTCAATTATTAAACTGATCTAATGCTTCTTGGTATCAATTCACACTATCTTATAGGGGGATTTCTAATTCTGTAAGGAGGATAACAAAATGTTGTCTCAATTCCATATATATGCATTAGTATACTGTATTGGTCTTTATCTTTCTGGCTTACTTCACTCTGTATAATGGGTATATTATCAAGGGTGAAACAGATCACCAGCCCAGGTTGGATGCATGAGACAAGTGCTCAGGGCTGGTGCACTGGGAAGACCCAGAGGGATGGGATGGGGAGAGAGGTGGGAGGGGAGATTGGGATGGGGAACACATGTAAATCCATGGCTGATTCATGTCAATGTATGGCAAAAGCCACTACAATATTGTAAAATAATTAGCCTCCAACTAATAAAAATAAATGGAAAAAAATATTGTCTCACACAAGCTTGTCACTTTCTTCACAAGACTACAAAATTGAGAGCAGCTGAGGCAGGACCTCTCTGGCATGTGGATAGAATCCTTCTTATTCACAAAACAATTTTCCAAAGGTCAAACACTTGGATTTGGATTTCAAGAAACCAAAAATCTAAATTCAAAAAGTAGACCACACAATAGCAGAGGTCCATCATTATACATCACAATCTTCCAATTTGCTGTAATGGCTACAAAATAAGAAAATGTTAATGACCTTTGCACAATTTTAGATTTTGGAAAAGGGGAAGCAAAGCACATAAATTTGTGAGTTCAATATGATCTTATGGATCTTTCTTGGATTAAAAAACAAAAAGTTCACAGCAATTTTGGAGGTAGGGTATGCTAGAAATGTATTTAGGCTTTAGACTAGAAGCTTTAAAAATTTCAAAAAGTCAGCCCACACTGCTGCATTCTTAATTCCAATTAAGTCAGATCTTTTAAAGGATTTAATGCATATTTGTGTAGAAATCATGGAAATTTGCTACCTATTTCTATTATATTTTTAGTTTTATATTGGTGTTGCAAAAACATAGATTAACTGAAAATGTGACCAGAATCTCACTGCTATAAATGTTCTTCAGGGAATAACAGTTTACATTGCAAATGGCTAGAATTTATGCTTTTTAATACTGGAAATGGGAATGCTATGCTTTATCATTGCATGATTATGACTTTTCTAGAATTCCAGACACATGTATTTCTCACATCCATTTCTCTATCAAAACATTTTAGAGCAGTGCTATGCAGAACTTCCTGTGATGATAGAAATAGTCTACATCTGAATGTTCCAATATGGTAGTTAAAGGTGGATATCAAACCCATGAAATGTGTCTAGCGCAACTAAGAAAATCCATTCTTAATTTTGCATAATTTTAATTAACTTTTATTTAAACATTTACATGTGCTAGTAACTACCTTATTGAATATCACAGTACAGAGATACTTTCTATTCTGTATTTAATTTAAGGTATGCATGATTTGGAACAATGAACATGATTTGTTCATTTGGACATGGAACAATGGACTGGTTCCAAATTGGGAAAGAAGTATGTCAAGGCTGTATATTGTCACCTTGCTTATTTAACTTATATGCAGAGTCCATCATGGGAAATGCCAGACTGGATGAAGCACAAGCTGGAATCAAAATTTCGGGGAGAAATATCAATAACCTCAGATATGCAGATGACACCATTCTTATGCAGAAAGCAAAGAGGAACTAAAGAGTCTCTTGATGAAAGTGAAAGAAGAGAGTGAAACAGCTGGCTTAAAACTCAACATTCAAAAAACAAAGATCATGGCATCCAGTCCCATCATTTCACGGCAAATAATGGAAAACAATGGAAACTGTGACAGACTTTATATTCTAGGGTTCCAAAATCACTGCAGATAGTGACTGCAACCATGAAATTAAAAGATGCTTGCTCCTTGGAAGAAAAGTTATGACCAACCTAGACAGCATATTAAAAAGCAGAGACATCACTTTACAGACAAAGGTCCATCCAGTCAAAGCTATGGTTCTTCCAATAGTCATGTATGTATGTGAGAGTTGGACCATAAAAAAAGCTGACTGCTGAAGAATTGATGCTTTTGAACTGTGGTATTAGAAAAGACTCTTGAGAGTCCCTTGGACTGCAAGGAGATCGTCCATCCTAAAGGAAATCAGTCCTGAATATTCATTGGAAAGAATGATATTAAAGCTGAATCTCCAAAACTTTGGCCACATGATGTAAAGAACTCACTCCTTGGAAAAGACCCCAATGCTTGGAAAGACTGAAGGCAGGAGGAGAAGGGGATGACAGAGAATGAAATGGTTGGATGGCATCAGTGACTCGATGGACATGAGTTTGAGCAAGCTCGGGGAGTTGGTGATGGACAGGGAAGCCTGGCATGCTGCAGTCCATGGGGTTGCAAAGAGTCAGACATGACTGAGTGACAGAACTGAATTGAAACTGAATGCATGATTTGGCTTTTCTGGTGGCTCAGGTGGTAAAGAATCCTCCTGCAATGCAGGAGACCTGGGTTTGATCCCTTGGTTGGGAAGATCCTCTGGAGGAGAGCATGGCAACCAACTCCAGTATTCTTGCCTGGAGAATTCCCATGGACAGAGGAGCCTGGCAGGCTACTGTCCATGAGATCACAGAGTCAGACATGACTGAGCGACTAAGCAGAGGTCAGCATTCTTGATTTACTTATGGAAATTGTGTGTTATTAGGATACTCATGTTTTTCCATCCATGCATCCATTCATCAACCATCTAGTTGATCTTTAATTATGAAGCAACCTCAGTATGTAAAACAACATGTTAAGTTTACATAATAAAGGAGATTTATGTTAGGTTAAGTTTAGGTGGTGCAGTGGTAAAGAATTCACTTGCCAATGCAGGAGATGCAAGAGACATGAGTTTGATGCCTGGGTCAGGAATATTCCCTGGAGTAGAAGATGGGAAACCACTTCAGTATTCTTGCCTGGAAAATTCCGTAGACAGAGGAGCTTGGCAGATTATAATCCATTGGGGTCGCAAAGCGTGAGACATGACTGAGCATGCATGCACACATATGGTGGGGGAGATAAGCCAAAACCTGTACAGGATAAGTAATACTGTACATTGAATAGGCTAACTGATGAAAGAGCAAAATGCTATGGGAATACCAAAGAACACTTTTGAATAATGGGATTAGGAAGAGGTTTGTGGATTGCTTTAAAGGTTTTTGATAAGTATGCAAGGCATATGAAGGACAGTAAGGAAACAAGATTGCAAGATAAGAAAGTCTGAAGGTTAGCCTGAAATGTGGGGATTATAAAGAGGGAATACTCAAAGCTTTTTTAAATGACTTAAAAAGTTAGTGCCAAGAACAGATAAGGTAAAAGGAGAATGAACATGTTTGTAGGAAAATGTTGAGGCTAAATAAGAGAACACATTTTAATCTAAGATTTTTCTTAATTTATTTAATTATAAAAAGTTATTTGTTATAAAGGTTCATTTTAAATGAGTTAAAATTTTAGCCAAAATAAATTTATATATTAACTTGAATTGTACTATTGATACATATGATCAACATAGAGACCACTATTAAAGTGAAGTCATCAATCATCTACCTTAACTTCCATCTTGGTCTCTAAAGACTAAAGATTAGGATAGCTACAATAAGGAGAGCTAAACACAAACATGTGAATTTTCCCTTAATTCCTGTATAGAATTCCTATGGGGCCATGCCAGATAACCTAAGATGTATTAAATTATTTTTCATTCCCTAGGAGAGTGCCTTGAATTCCTCAGCAAGTATTGAATTATGTATTAATCTAAAAGAAAATATCAAAACACTTTGGGAAAGTAGACATCCTTACAATGTGATATAGGTGGCTAATCAAATGCCACAAATATAAAAACAAACTGATTAATTTATTGATTCCCAGATTTATCACATGTTCCTTTTGAATATAAATATATAAACATATTAAATGTGAATAAAATTTCACATCTATTTGCAGAGATCATTGATATTTTTGCTTTGCTTCTCTGGATTAATGCCCATTGTTTCAAACAGAAAATAGTTTTTGCTTCCTTTGCAAGTAGAAAATTAAATATTTTCATAGTTTGAATAAATATGATTTTATTTAAACTCTCAGGTATTGAATATCAATATATAATTGAGTATACTTTGAAATGTGGGAGATAATCAGGGTTTTATCTTTGCCTTTAATAAAGACTGGACCTACAATGTTATCTTCATAGCTGAATTTTCATCTTTGGATTTATAGAATTAACAGATATGGGTGTTTTCTTCTGAGGAAATTATGATTTCAAGGAATTTGGTTAACATGGGTGCTCATTTCTTCCCTTAATAAGAAATTTGAATCTGCAGACTTTTACATTTAATATTTTATTAACTGTTCAGGTACACTTTTTGACTTAGGGGCCATGCCTATG